AGCAGTGTAGCGGTAGTGTAGCGGTAGCGGTAGAGCAGTATAGTAGAGCTGTGGCAGCAGATCAGGCCCAGCAGCAGTAGCAAGACGAGGAGGATGAGCAGCCGTGGCATTAGCAGTTTACGCACTGCTGCAGGAGAAGCCTGCCTCGCCGATCGAGAAACTGGTTGGTAGCTTTGGCTTCAAGGCTGGCCCCGAGCGCCTGCACTTTGATAGTTGTCAAAAACCTTGCGCCGAGCCCAACAGCAAACCCTGGGCCACATCTTAACAATGACCCCAGAGGATGCAATATCTTGACAGTGTTGAGAGCTTGTTTTCGTGATTGTTTCCTGTGGGCTCCAAGTCCTTGTTCATTTCCCCGTTGCTCCAGAGCCGAAAGGCCTTGCACGGGCCGCGCAGCGAAGCAGTCAGAATTCAGCAATTAAAAGATTGATAGAATCTGATAGAAACAAGGAAGTGAGAGGCAAGAGGCATACGTAGCGAGGGTCCAGAAGACCGTTCATCAGATTCAGTTGAGGGAGGACCAGTGTTATGTATGGGGGTAGGGCGGATCGCAGCTTTTAAAACAGCAGAACTTGTGCACGGATCGCTGCGTGTCCAAGTGAAACTGTATTTGGTTTTGTTGTACAGCCGATCAGGTTGCTTTCCTTGCCTCTCTCCTATGGCTCTCCAGCACGGCCTTCCCGGGCTACATAGTGCAGCCCACTGATTTCAATGGCATCTCTTGACAATCAAAGCAAATGCATCAAGAGGGTTAGCCCGAGCCGAGCAAAATAGTCATGCAGCGCTGCTACATTTTCTCTGCCATGGTTGAATGATGTTGCATGCTCACCGAATTTGTTCTCAGGATCATTGAGAGTTGGGTGAGTATCATTGCCAGTGCAGGTAGCCTACCGGGTTGGATATCATGGATGCAGGGACCTAAATGATGACGAATTGTCTCAATCAAAGTAAAGGGTACCTAAAATGGAACTCAAATCATAGTGTTGATTTCTCAGGTTTCTACAGTAGAGGTTCTAGCAAGTTTGCTGCGCTCAAAGGAGCAATGCAGGGCATCCTACATGGCGGTTCCGCCTTTGCGGTTGCCAGCTTCCTTTGGCCTTCGGAGGTGCAAGTGGCCCAGGGCGTCTCGCGGGCTTTTGCAGCAGCCCGGGCTGCTTTGGGGTTTAGGTTTAGGCTTGGGGGTTTAGGGTTTAGGGTTGGGAATTGGGTTTGAAGGCTTTAAAGGGGCTGGTAAGGTATACACAAAGAACAGTTTCATAGCATAGCCGGCATAGCGTACTTGATGTCGTATGTCATATCACTCTCCGAGCTGCTTAGGTCCTTGAGACATGCTCAGGTGGGTTACAGGACCCCTAGTATACACTCTACTATATTGGGGCTTATCTCCTATACCCCACTTGCCTTTACCCCACCTTTTGAGCCCTCAGGAGCTGCGAAGGGCTGCACTAAGCTTTCTGAAGTCCGGCGGCTCGAGGGGCTCACTGCTGGAGACTGGGAAGTGAGCTATAATATTATGGAATGGAAAAGAAAATGGAAACTACTATTTAGGGGTTATATAGGGCTAATGGAAAAGAAAATGGAAACTACTATAATGGGGTTATGTAGGGATTAGAATGTAAGGATTCTATAGGGGATTTGGGAATCCCAACCAATTTTAGGAATCTATGTTTGTCTCATGAGGCCTTGAATCAAACCTTTCTTGACTATAGTCTCTTGAAAGGGGTTGAGAGAGTTGTATAAGGTTCTGTTGGGATACTTTGTAGGGTTTAGGGGTTCTAAAAACAGGGGTACCTCTTCGGGCGTCCCTGTAATTAAGCTTATAGTATATGGGGATCATATTTGGGGAGCTACATGTTTGGAAGCTCCCATTTTCTCATCCGGGGTTTTATCGTTCAGGAGACCTGAATAGTATTTAGTGTTAGCTTGTAGCAGGTTTCGACTTGGCTTTGTCGAGATTTGAGCAGACGTAAGGATTCTTCTGCATCCTACCCTTGTATTCTCCCTACCCTACTTAGTTTTCTTTGTCCCTTCTCCTAACCCCCCACTCTCTCTCTCTCCCTCTCCCTGGCTAATTATCTCTTTGTGTCTCTGTTTCCCTCTCTCTCTCTCTCTCTCTCTCTCTCTCTGTCTCTCTCCTCGCTCTCTCTCTCTC